AAACATTGTCTGTGTGTTGGTGATAATGAGAATCAGCTCATTGCATCTCCGGCGTCGAATCAGGAAGATACCAGCGCGAAGGAAAGCTCGGCGGGTGAAACTGAAATCGAGGACTATGACTATGTTGCTCAGAAACTGCCCTACTGTTTCGGACGGGCGAGGCGCTCGAAGCCATGTGCCACGTACCACGGCAACCCATCGACTATTGCCAGACAACCGCATCCGTCGAAAGTGACACTCGACCAGTTGTCGCCACCCTGCATTCAATGCGTGTCGGTGAGCTCCAGCTGTTCCGATGCGGAGCAGGAGAGTTCAGTGGCTTACTCCAGCGAGTTTGATTCGTGGATTTCCGAGAAGAACGACGAAACGGTCAGTTACGACCATTATGATTTGATGATGAACCATATCTTAATGGCTAATTATTTTGGTAATTGCGATTGTTTAATGGCTTATCACTGTTACTTTAGTTGAGATGGACATGGCTCAAGCAGTAATAAAATCATCGCGAGCCAATATAGTTTAGTTTTAGTTTATTGTTAAGTTGGAATGGATATAAATTTATAGAAGTCTGTAGAAAGTTATGATTAAAAATTTAAATTTACAGTATTAACGAACAAGATGAACAAGCAAGCTACCAGTGCAGCCATAAAATAGCGATGATTTGATACGTTACGGAATATCGTTCGAAGGTAGAAACTACCTTAGAAGTAGAAAATCCTACGTGGTTTTGCTGTCATATATGAAGGGACTAACTATCAAACCGACATAGAATTGCATTAATTTTTATAAGTTCCCCCACCTTGAACTCACCTGGGTAAGACGATAGCGGAAATAATTACAGAAACTGTTCTAGAAAGACGTTGACGAGTTTTTGTTGCTGTCAGTGAAGTTAAGGTGTTTGAGAATTTTTGCACAGCGAAGTAGAAGCTGAAACCTGAACTGCCAAAAGAACGCTTAAACATGATAAAACGAACGAAAGTCGATAAAGTAGCCTCAAATGAGGAGCTATTGTGTCTTTCGGGGAATTTTGACGGACTGTTATAGATTTATGTGATGACTTGATAGGTAACATTCAGAATTCAGTTCTTCATTCGACCAGCATTCAGAAGTTAGATAGACTGCTTGTCGCACTTCATCAGTTCCTCTTTCGTTCATCCTCCGCTTGGAAAAGGGGTTATTTTAAAATTACAGATAAAACGGTGTCATCTTAGAGACGACCGAGCGGTCCATTTCGAGCCAATGGGGACCATTCGGCAACTGCCACCATCCATCGGAGTTGTGTTAATCTTACTTCGCTATGCTCTCGTTTGCTGTCTGATTTTTGCACTGAAGATGTCGTGCAGCGAAATATAGTATTCTTTCCGTGGCTCTGTCAGTGACAGACCGCTGTTGCTCCTCCATGTCTGTAAGGGTTTCGGTCTGACCATATTTCGGTGCCGTCCACCATCGCCGGCAGGCACTTTTGTGATATTTATTCCGGTTACTGCACTTGCCCTGGTCTTCCGAAACAGGATATTCTTAATAGAATTACGTGCGCCCTGGTATGCGCGAGGTTTCGGCCTTGTGATAATCATTTTATAACTTTTTGGCTCAAATAGACTTAAAGGTTATGTAAATTGCGTTTCCTTCTGATGATCGACTATAGAGTTTTTGCTTTTATGTTACTTTGCATAACTACGCTTCCTTCCAACAAAACAATCACAGGTTGGGAAATCGTCATGCTTTGCTCATCATTGAGATCTTAGTTTTTCTGTTGGTAAATTTTGATGTTTTTTCACGATGAAAGGTGTGTCGTGCCCTTACTGTTTCATTAAGTTAATGGCACGGTGCCATTCTGTTTCTGTGCCATCAGCCACCAGTATCTGATTAATCAAGGCAGAGTTTGCAGCCATGTGGCAAGCGTGGCGAGTAGTCTCTTGTTTTCTTCCCTGAGAGTTGTTCTCATTGACCAACCTCAGAAAGAGGAAGGGCTGATGACCCAGACCAGGGCATGAATTCGTGACCTATCGTTTCTGAATCCGACACTCTACCGATTAAAGAACCTCTGCCGAAACTACTTATCTAGCTTACTGATTTGCTTAACAACTTAACGTGCTTGTTAACCTATGCATCTAAGAGCAAGGGGGACGGTACAGTGAGCTGCTGTTCTAAAGTGAGAAATTGATCTTTAATTCTTTACATTGTACATTAGCCGTATCAACCCGGTATCATTTTTGTTGTGATATATTCAGCGGTGTGATTCTGTGTGCATGTTAAATTGTCTACTTGTTTGCCGACGTTACTTGTTTATTAACCAGTTATTTGCTTATTCTTTTAGTTGTTTATTTATTCACGTATTCATTTACCTGCCTGCTTGCTGTTCTGCTGAACTACTTGCTTGCAGTTAGTAAATTTATGGTTTTTTAGTGCTGTACGGCGCGTTCTGGGAAGAGGCCTAAAGATGCATTGTCCGGTGACGAAGAAGAAGACGATGAGGACGACGAAGAAGCGGCGATTTTTGTGACAACGGGTAGCAGCGAAAGCATCCCGTTCATCTTTGAGGTTTGTGGCGGTCCACCGGGCGAAATCGCTTGCCTTCGGACGTCCGTCAGTGACTACGGTTTCGACGACACGACGTCCGATCCGTCGGAACTGAGTTCCGGTATGATCATCTCACGTTGGAACCCACGACGCAACCGATGCAAAAGGCGCTATCACATGAAAGGGGTACCGTCACGACGATTTCTGCAGACCACCGACTGTGGGGTGCCGGTCACAGACACACAAATAAACGGCCTGAACAAGGTGATAGCTCAACACGGCTCCTGCCGCCGTTACCATTTCGGCTCTCGAATCGTACCCGGGCACTTTTCGCGGCACGCCGTCAAAGCCAGACAGCGCCTGATGTTCGTGCGCAACAGAGCCAATGGGTACGACACGTCCAGTGACGAACAGGAGTTGCCTTGCCGGCGAAAGATACTGTGCGGTCTTGGGTCGTCACATGACCACCGCATCA